TGCGCTCCCGTCGTCAGTCTCGGCCGTGGAAACTACTGGCAGAGGTACATCGAGGGAAGCTCCCTTCGGAGAGGACTACAACTCCCATGACCACACACCAGGACAACCACAATGGTGCAGCCCATCTGGAGTGCACCTGGTTGGAGAAACCCGGCTTCAGAAAAAGGGCTATGCGTGATTCCCTCTTGAAAACAGCAGTGTCTTGCGGCATCTTAAAGACGGACAAATGTAATCGTAGTGCAGCTTTCAAGTTTGCCCCCTCTCCACAGCACCGGGGAGAATTACGTCTCTTTCGCAATAATGATCTGCCCAACTCTGTAAGGTTTGGCTAAAAGAGAACGTTTGTCTCAGCTCCATCCCAGAAGGATCGGGACCCTGGATCGAATCCATGTATGATAACTTATTGGCTCCAGGATTGTATGAGGATTTCTGTTTGCAGTCCAACCTGGCACTTAGCGGTGATTTCCTGGGCACCAGTACCCTTTCTTCTAAGTCATGGGATATCATATGAAATTCCAAAATTGGAGGAAGATTAAGAGGGGGAAAGACCAAAACCAAGCCTTCAAAGCCTTCAAATTCATTTGCCACCACTTGGGAGGTTATATTAGCTGTTATCCTGTGAACCACCCATTGAAATAACGCTGTAATTTAAAAATGGTGGCCGAGGATAAAACCTTAGTGGGCCTAAATGATCCATAGTGGCAAGGAAATTATTAAAATATTTAACGGACTGCCCTTTTAACTCTGGGGAAGGCTCAAGCCAGCCAGGAAAAGACTGAAACAATCTAAAGCTTCTGAACGCTATTCAGAAAGGGAACAGGCCATTGGAAAACACAACATAGCACTGAGAGCCAACAGTAAAACATATATTATCCTGCACAAAAAGCCAGCAAGCAGACCATAATTTTCTAATTTTCAGCCACCTTCCGTCGGAGGCTTCCAAACAGCTGCTACCGATCATTCTGTAAGGCTTACAAACAATGGTAGGCCAGACCATCCAATGGTGCTGGTACCGAAGGAAGGACGCCAACTCCTCTGGAGCGGCCATGGATTAACCACGATGCCACCCTTCAGAAGCCTTTGCCCTTCTACCCATACCCCACACCTTATCTGGCAAGAAAAACCAAGGGTCTGTGTCAGGGCAATTAGGGACCCATTTCCCTTCCTTGTCGGCTGCAAGCGGCCAGCTTAAAACTGGTGCAAAAGGCAGTTACAGTATTTGTCATGCTGGACGAAGGGACAAATACGGTTTAGCCGGCCTAAAACAAAAGGCCAACATTAAAGCGCTCCATCTATATTCCTGCTCTTGCCTTTTGAATGAAAAAGATTGTGCCCTGCAGCCAGAGGGCCTATCCAGACAGGGGAGGCGAAGGGCGTCTAATCTCCGAGAGATCAATTGGATCCTATCTGGGAAGTTCGCCTTATGAGAAAGCAGATGGCGAGCAACTCCTTAACAATTATGGCTCACCTGCCTGCGCCACGATCTGTAATTTTTGAGGCGCTTCTAACGCTGCTTTGCCTAATACCCTTCTCCACCCACACCTTCTGTTCCTTTGTTGGAGAAAGCAACGTGGGAAACACCAAGAGGGGTAAAAAGACGTTTGAGTCAGGCTCTGTGGCTGCTGATGAAGCAGCCAACCTGTTTAGTTTTCAGCAGGAGGGGGCTGGGGCGGGCAGGAATTTGCCAACTGGAAACTTATTTATGGGGAAATGCTTCTATCTGTACCGGGGGGTGGGGGGGGAAGGCCCTGTTTCAAACATGTATCTTGCTAACTTCAGAAGATCCTGGCTGGACAAGAGCTCCATCACAGACCGCCACTTGCATGCCACAGTGGCCCAAAAGATGCCTTTAAGAAGCCCCCAAACAGCCTGGAGGCGCGATGTCTCCGTAGTTGTCCTCGTAACTTTTCAGGATGATGGTGCCGGTGGAGGTGATTTGCAATTCTGGGAGCCATAATCCCCATACATCTGCAGGACACCAGGATGAAGAAATCTGTTCCATCCTTTCCAAACCAGTGTGTTCACACGTATCCATTTTATGAATTCAGATCTTCGGTTGTTAGAAGTAATTCTGTAGAAGCAGCTCGTGAGGTGGAAACCTTCAACAGCTTGGATGCTGATGCCCGTTTTTAATTAGAACCTTGGATATGTTGTTAACGTCACTATAAACTGTTTCTGGGAGGGAGGGAGGGAGGGAGGGAGGGAGGGAGGGAGGGAGGGAGGAAGGAAGGAAGGAAGGAAGG